TCTAAAGTACCTTGTGTACAATGGATAGATTCCATGTATGTTAAAGGTTCTTCAACCTTTAGGCTCCTTTATGGCAACCTTTATTTTTAATAGTGTATGAAACGCCGTTACTAAACTAAACTGTCTTTGTGACTTATATCGAGAGAGCCACTAGTGCTTATGATCATTCAGTCAGAGGACAAAGCACTTGAATTCAAGGGAAAAATATCCCCCTCTCCTAAAATTAGCATCTCTCTGTTCCTGTCCGCCTCTTTACTCCAACTGTTCTGCAGTGCTGTACGAGACTCTCTGAAATCTGGTGCAATCAAATTAATTTTCCCATTAATCCATCTCCTGACGGCCTTAAGTCGTCGTATTCAACACTTTCAGAGGCTGTTTTTTTTTGTTTTTTTTTACACGGTTTAGAAGCTATTGTTCCATGGCAAGCTCACAGAAAGTAGGGCAGCGCTCACAAACCAGAGGTTCCCATGGGGAGAATGAAACTTTGTAGAACTAAAAGACAGACATTTTCCAACTAAACAATCTCAATAATGCAAATGAAATACATCCAAATGCCGCACAGTGGGAACGGCATCTGTCACGTCCGTACGGCAGACGCTGGCCCCCACGCACCTTCGATAAGCCTTAAAGTAAATGAGAGATTAATTTCAAATGATCGCTATCAATAAAAATAGTACAGGAGGCTTAAGCGTGTTCCTGAAATGCCCAGTAGAAGTGGTTACGTTTGATGTGCCTATCGACTGCCGCAGTGTCTAGTTATTCGGTTTTAGTTCTACAAAGCCTTCACTAAGTGCCCCTTTCAGTCTGAAAAATCAGGTCACATTTACATAGAACACTGTGTGAATGGCAAAACAGAAAACAGTTACAGCAGACAGAGCTCACACCATAGGAAACCATTGTTTATTCGTTGCAGCGACACAGGAGGAGCCGGTTGGGGGTGTCCATTAATTTATAATATTCCCATGGCAACCAATGCAATAAAACAACATTATTGACAATTTAACAAATATACCAACTCGTACCCAATACATTGCAAGTATTCATTGACTCATTCGACAAGGTCGGCATGCAATTCTAAAAATAAAGATTTTTATTGAGATTGATGGTTTAACATCCATGGAAACTTTCTATTGCATAAAAGGTTCTTTATGGAAAAATAAAGGTTTGAAAAGTGGCTTTTTCGCTGCAATGTTCCCTAATGAGCCTTTCAGCGAAAATAACCATTTTTTTAACGTGAAGAACATTTTAATAATCTAAATAACCTTTTTCCACAACAAAGAACCTTTTGTGAAATGAAAAGGTTCTACACTTTTAAAAATAAAGGTTATTTATTGGCGTTGATGGTTCCATGAAGAGCATTTAAAGGGAAAGTTCACCCAAAAATGTAGGTGTAGGTGATTTTTATCTTCAGTAAAACAGTAAAGAAGATTTGTAGCTGAAATCGTGCTCCTTGGCAATTCATAAAATGCATGTCAGCAGCTACCGGCACTTCAAAGTCAAAAAAGCATATCAGGCAAGACAAAATAAATATCTGTTGCTCCTATTGATATCTTGAGGTCTTATGAAGCGAAACGATTGGTCTGCGCAAGAAACTGAACATTATTTACAACATTATTACCTGTAATCCAGAGCCTCAGGCAAATGGGGAAATCTGATTATTTTCTGTGAACTGATTCTTTCGGACTGTTTGATTCAGTGAACTGGTTTGTTTATGCCGTAACATATATGCAATTATATTATTGAAGCACCCAATGATAATGTGAAATGTGGATGTTTTGCATGTCTAAAGCATATAAAGTGAATAAACTCAGCTCACCTTTTTACATAAGCAATGAGAAAGCATAAAAACTCATCAGCGGCTCATCGGTCTTTGAGGCGAACTGTTTGTTCAGTTTAGTGAATGTTGGAGGAACTGGAGCTCTGAAGAAGTTCAGTCATCATAGAATATAAAATCAGATACGCTGCTATTTTGGCTCATTTCCAGTCGGAGTGACTGTCAGATGTCTGAAAGTGAGTTTTGATCGAGTAACTTGTAGATCTGTGCTGCTCGAGCCGCAAACTGTTTCAGGCGCTTCAGTCCGATTTGTTGAACTGGGTCACTGAAAAGAACCGGTTTAAAAGAATAATTAGTTTGTGAACCGGACATCACTCTAGACCGTTTGCCTGAGGTTTTAGTTCACAGGTAACTGGAATAATTAATATTGTAAATAATGTTCAGTTTTTGTTGCACAGGTCGATCATTTTGCTTCATAAGACCTCAATGTATTGTAAGGAGCATTAATTCTGTGGTCTTTTTTTAATTCTCAAAATTTGGCAGCCACTGACTTGCATTTAATGAATCACCAAGGACCACAGTTTCAGCTAAAAAAAGTCATCAACATCTTGGATGGCCCGAGGGTGAGCAAATAATTGAAATTGATTTTTTTGGGTGAACTATCCCTTTAACAACTAAAGCGTTATGGAAGCGTTATTTTTTAAAAGTAAATGGATGTTAAAATGTCTTCATGGAACCATAAATGCCAATAAATAAGCTTTATTTTTAGGAGTGTTTGCTTTTAAGCAACTTGAGCCTAAGTACCATGAAAAGCCATTGAAAGACATGAGGTGCATTCATAAACATACATGTAATGCACTGGAGATCATTGTGGCTGCGTGCAATTCAATAACCTAATTTGGAGGGTTCCTTCTGAAAAGATACATTATTTTTTAATGGATTTTTCATCCTGCCCATTTAAACTCTAATTTTAGAATATATATCATTTGCACTCCAAAGTGTCTTTGCAAGTCACTTACGGGGACTAAATGACAGTGTGACATTTTGTACATCTCACTTTTGCGGTGAGCGGCTGCAATTATGAGTGGCAGTGTAATGGGTTTTAGCTGGATTCAGAGCTGTGTACCCTGGGATATTGAAATTCTCTCTGAGACTGAAGAATGAAAGAGACAAAGACAATGTGTAGGAGTTATGAATTAGATTAAAATGTAACTTTGGGTGGAAAGTAAAGAGAGAGGTTCTAATTTTGTCTTTCATGTGGTTATATAAATCCTGCAGATCGTGAAGAATGTGCTTTGCTGCATATACTTGACGCCTTGATTTGTTTTTGGAGGCGAATGAGCTTGTATCAGGCAAATCTGTAATAGCTGGAGAAAGCTGTAAGTTAGCATTACCATTCATCTCACTAAAAATCATGATGATGATGCTGATTAGCTGACGGCAACAACACGCACAGTAAAAAAAAAATAAAAAATAGAAGCCAGTTTCACATTTTTAAGAGCCCACAAAAAGAAAAGAAATCACTGTAAAAAAAAATAAATAAAAATACTAGAATATCTTTAAAAAAAAATAATATATATTTTTTTTAATAAGAGAATAAATGAATAAATAAATATCATGTATTTTTATAGTTCACATTTAATTTCATTTATAATAATACTACAAATAAATACATACTATACATTTATTTATGTATGTATTTATTTATTTATTATAAAAACAAATATAAACATGAACTGAATTAAAAATACCTTAAAACTTTAAATGATTTTATTGCAGCAAGATGCAGTATTAAAATAACAAAACTAAAAATGAAAAAAAAAGCAGTAAAGTGACAACAGAAAATATACAAAATGAAATCAATTCAAAATATTAACAAAAACTATAAACGTATATCACTGATACTAAAATAGAACATTGTTACTTGGAAAAAAATAAACATTAACTTTACAACTTTTCTCATTTTTGTTTAATTTAATTTTAAATACTAAAATAACTAAAAAAACAGACATAAATAAACAGATACAGACATATAAAAAAAAATGATAAAACACAACTAAATTACTAAAAGTTGAACTGAAAATACAGTGAAAACAGAAAATATGAAAACTTCAAATATTAACAAAACCTGTACTAAAAATAACACTGTATTCTCCAATTCTCCATTGCCTATCCCGCAGCGTCTCAGGACATTATAATATTGATTAAAATAGTAATTATTATTGACCTGATTATAGCCCTTGGTTTCTGTGTTTTGACTTTGTTTAGTCATAGCATTCCATCTTGGGCAGCCCAAGTGCTCAAGCAAGACATATCGTCACTTAGACCTGGCATTAAGGTGTCTCCACATACGGTTATATGGGCACTGAACCAGTGTCCTCTTCATTACTCTTTGTTTTTGTGCCAGAAGACCAAACTGAGCTCACACTAGTTCTCCAGCCACTCTCCAGGGCTTCGAGACATGCAGCTAGAGCTGAAGCTGAGTCCTTCCAGGGATTATGGAGATGAATGCAGGGACTGAAAATAAAGCTGGTCTCAGATCAGCGGCTGAGGACGAGCTCTTGCACCACAGCCATCGCTAGAAACCCTCTCAGGTTATTAACAAAGGGGAATACAGGCACATTGTAAAAATCAGTGTTGGGCTCTTAACAACAATGTTTTAGAACCAAATCCCCTACCCTGCCTTTCCCTGTCAGGAGCAATTCATTACTCGTTGTCGTTTCTCCTCACATGTGCGCCTATTTGTGAACGCTAAGCTATTTACACGTTTATTTAATATTTCATATATAGACAGAATCATCGTTTCGTTTCCCACTGAATAATGCGATCTGATGAGTTTTAGCTGTTTCCAGTTCTGTCTGCCTGTGTTTCTATTCCTGTTATGACACTTATTTACTGCTAATACTGTATGTCAATCATATTGCGCATTCATAACCTGCACCATTACAGCTTTAACTACACCTCCGCATTCATTTCTGTACATACACCCAGAGAAAGGTGTCTACACACGAAACATGAAGCTAATAAACAAACGATTACAACAGCATATGATTTGCATGTGATATTCATGCCATTTGGGTTTATAAGAATGCATGCAAAGGATGTTGCATGAGAATCATAAACATTATAAAATAATATTACACATAATCATCCCTACTAAGGAAAGTAATATTATTACTGTAGCACTATACTAGTAAGCCATTACTTCCCAAACTCTGGTTCAGGTTTATGCTACTGTTTTGGAAGGCAGATCTTTATGTTCTCGCTCCATGGCTGGAGGAAGTCAGATGTTAAACAGGAGCATCTTATATGCATGCCCTCCAGTCATCAGTGCTGTGCTCATTGGCTCAGAAGTGTCATCGAGTTGTGCGTCTTGGTTCCCGTGGTGAGGCTGCCGTCTGTGTCTGCTTCTGAGAAAACAACAGCATGAATAAATGACATTTACTTGCCTTGATTGGTACAGAATACTATTATTGCACTGATTTCTTGCAGCAGCAGCTGTACAAAGAACAGAAAGTGCAAGGCAACATGTGTATGGCATGACCCGACTACTTTATTTATAGCTTAGACTGTATTTATACATAAGATAGATAGTAAAAAAAGAGTAAAGTCAATATTACTACAATGCCATAACAGTATTCATTTTTTATGTATTTTTTTCCTTTGGATTCCCGATGCCAGAGGGGGCTCTTTGTTGGTGAGAGCCTGGTTGCACATGGGACGGATTTTTCTGACGCAACGAGGAGTAGTGGTGTGAAATGGAAACGTATGGGAGACACACTAAATCATTGAGCACCTAGGGCACATCACCGAGCTGTCAAAATCTGCTATGATTTGTGGAAAGTCAGTGAATTTGGATGGATGGATGGATGGATGTGTTAAATTTCATGACTTGAATGATGTTTCTGTTGAAAATGTACTGTTAGTGGGCAAAAACAAGATGTATTAAAATGTCAATGATCACATTATTATGTTTACAGTAAAAAAAAAAAATGTTTTGTTAACTGTGGTTTAAAAAAAGAGAGAAAAAGTAACAAAACTTTACAAGAACATTACAAGCATTATGAGATGGGATTTTAGATTAAAATAAATAATACTGTATTACTGTTAATTATGACATTATTACTTTTATTCATTAAATTGATGCATTAAATTGATCAAAAGTGACAGTAAAGATGTTTATAATGTTATACAAGATTTATATCTCAAATAGATGCTGTTCTTTCTTGAGCAGCAAATCAGCATATTAGACTGATTTCTGAAGATCATGTGACACTGAAGACTGGAGAAATGATGCTGAAAATTCAGCTTTGATCACAGAAATAAATTACAGTTTAACAGATATTCACATAGAAAACAGCTAACAACTATTTTTATTTCTAAAAATCACAGTTTTTACAATACTGTACAGTAAAATTATATTTAGAAGTATAATAGCATTTTTAGCAAAGGTAGGTCAACCAATTGTTAGATTTGTACTGTACAATTTTTACAGGATTTTTTTTACAGTGTCAAATCTGTATTCAAATTGCAAACTGCTACATAATCTCAGCCTATTATCTTAGACTCCTTGTGTTCACAGAGCGTGATAATCGTACATGAGACGAGTGTTTAGACATTCTTGCGATTTTTTGTGAAAGCTTGGAGGGCTGCCGTGCAACACAAAACCAGACTTCGTCTGTGTGACTGGATTTGTGTAGCACAAGCTGACATGTATTCATGTCTTTGAGTCTTTGAAACCCTGTTCATTTAGCCAATTCCCTCATTTATTTGATGGCGCACAAAAAGTGCCCTCACTGCTTAACGTTAAATTTAACAAATTCAAATGAGTTCCCCTTCGATTAGTCCCTGGCGGTGATGCTAATTTCATCATCTGTTGCTCCCGACAGGTCTCTGACCTCTTCTGCAATCTAAGGAACAAAATAAGTGAAGATCAGCAGAAATTCTTCACATCAGTCTCACTCTTGTAAAGGCTTGGCAGCGTCTGCACTTATCGGCGTTTCCCAACACTTAGGCCTATCTGCACTGTAAAAAAATGACCGTGAATTTAACGGTAAAAGACTGTAAAAAAGCTACAGTAAAAACCTGTTAAATGGTTAACGGTAAATTCCCCTACTATGTACGGTGAAAAATTCTATTGGACATTACATGTAATTTTACGGTAGTATACCGTTTTTGGAAGTGAAAAAGACCGTATAACTTAGAGTGAATAACCGTAAATTGACATTCCCAGAATTCCCTGTGTTACATTTCAAATGTAATGTTTTTTTGTTGAAATAACTATGTTTCTTCTTAGTTTTTTCTTATCAGCTTTGTATATTAGGGTTGTGTGTCACACCTAATGTTGTTAAATGAATGTTTATTGCATTATTTCAGTTTCATGTGTGTTACCATGATGGGGTTTAGTGTTTGTGTGAATGACACTGTGCACCTTCTATATATGTTAGTATTTAAAAGCTGCTTGTGATGGGCTTTGGTTCATCGTGTGACTTTCTCATCACCACCTGCATTTGGTGGTTATCAGTGTATTACAAAGTTACAAAACAGATTTCAGAACTTCAATAGGTTGGTTTACATTATATCAGTTAATGAAATTATGGTATTTAACTGTACAATTTGAGTTAAAACCGTAAAACCTAAAATGTCGCTACCGTATTTTTTACAGTAAAATTCTGGCAAGCACAGCTGCCGTTTTTTTACCGTAAATTTTACGTATTTGTTTTTTACAGTGTGAGTGACGAAGCATGTTGTTGTGATATCAAACAAGCATGCATTTCCGTACAATCAGGCGCGCTGAGGGCCGAAGTCATGTCATGCACGAAATGCTGCTCCTGCTGAGAAATGACACACAAAGCCTGGAGGACACGGCGCTGCGAGGCTCGATGGAATCAAAGACAGCGATTAGCATTGTTGACAAGCATCAGAAATGCAAAAATTCCATATGCATATACAGTAGGAGATTCCCCCACACACTTTACAGCAGGATTGTAGAAATGTCCTTTTCTGTAGCATAATTTTTGGGTTTTGTATGCATGGTACTTGTATCCTTGGGAACAAAATGTGATCCAACCATAATAAATGTTTCACCAAAGCCCACTATGCAGTTCAAATGTGGTCATTTATTTATAGGATAAACTATTTGTGCACATATTAACACTTGTATTTTCTGATTTGTGGTTGTGGGTTTATTTATTTGTGTTTAAATATATAATTATCTTACCATACTTATGATTCACTGTCAAGTCACATTTATTTCTATAGCACTTTATAAAATACAGATTGATACAAACCATCTTCATGTTAATAAAGATAAAAAATAACAGTATTAAACTACCTGCAATTCCAATCAGCTGCTACTGATGATACTAGAGTCATTATTCAGATCAGTTAATTTCAATGTTGATTCAATTCAGTTCTAACAGTGCCAGTGTTGCGAAATTCATCAATTATGATTCAAGATTAATTTCAGCTGTAAAGCAGCTCTACAGAAGACAGTAGTGTCATAATTCAACTAAATTCAGTTCAATAACGGTGTCGATGTTGCATAGTTAGTGTCATTATCCAGCACTATTCAGCTCAGGTTTTGTTCTCTCCTGATAATGTCATTTAAATCAATAATACTGCTGTATATTTCGCTGTCTTTTAAACCCCAGAGTGTGAAATAAGGACAAATGGTACTTCATAATGATGCAATAACAAATGATGCAATACCTGTGGAGAAGTGAAGGACAAATAGAGGAAAGTATGAGAAGAAGGAAAATGATGAATTAGTGAACAAAAGAAGCAAAGGTACTGTATAAATCAGTATGTAAGGTTAGTTTGATAGCACTTTAGATTAGGGAACACTATTAACTCGTTGCTTATTAGCATGCATATTACTAGTATATTGGCTGTTTATTAGTACTTATTAATGCATGACCATATTCTAGATCCCTTAACCCTACCATACCTAGACATAACTACTATAACAACTACCTTACTTACTATCCAAAAAGCAATAGAACAATACTTTACTAAGTGAAAACTGCATGACATTATCTGTGAAAAAAAAACTAATTTCTGCTTTATTTTAAGCTCAATTTTGAATCAAAACTGTGTTTTATTTGTCAGAAGTAGAAATAAAAAACATGTTGTCTCAGTATTTCTAACTCCAAATTATTTTTTTATGAAAAAAAAGCAGAGCTTAAAGAAGAAATGGAGGACTTTGTAAGCATTCAGGGAACTTCACGTACATTTCATGATTTATTGAGCCTTGAAAGTGTATCATATTTTGTGCTGATTAGTTCTCTGAGACACTGCCGTCTAGAAATGACCAGAAAAACACGCACACTAAATTCCAATCTTCTATTTTTAACATCAGCACCTCTGGATATTCTTTTAATGCAAAACATTATAGTCAAAACATTTGTTTGTATTTTTTTTTGTATTTGTTTTATTTTAGGCTATTTTGCTTCCATAACATGGCTTCTGCGGTAAAAGTGTTTATTTTATTACACTTTATCTATTTGTATCTGGAGATTTCGATTACAATACATTTTTTCTCCACTTCAGTGGCACTTACATACACCAAACGTTGCAATTTTAGTCCTATTTTTGACATTTTTACAGAGGTAATAATATATATATTACATTGTATTTTTTTTTTATGCAGGGATAAATCCAAAATCCCCTCTGTACAAACCTTTAATATGTCAACAAAATTAAACAAGAATTTTAAGCCTGGCTTTATCCAATGTTCAGATTTCTGTTCTGAAAATGTATGCAAATCAGTGCATATTTATTTAGATATTTAATTTGCATATTTAAACACAACATTACAGAAACCCATGATCCAAAACAATTGTCTTGCTGTACTGTGATTAATAAGCTGGGGAAGTATGATGATATATATTAATTAAAACTTTTACCCTGTTCACCTATGGCATTTTGCTTTAAACGGACACTTTTTCTTTTTTTTTGGGGAGTACAAATTCTGTTATTGTGATGAAGTGTTATTGAGTCTGGATGGGGGAGGCGGGTGTCCATTTCCCAGCATGCAACTGGAGAGAAATGCTAATTTACAGTTAAGGGATATTTAATGTGTTTTTGTGCAAACTGAATGAGGAGGGATGTGTTAATGTTTAATGTTGGGGTTTTGAGCTTATTTGAGAAAACTGCTGAGGAATGGGAATGTTTCATACATTTCCAGCGCCACCATCAGCAATATTCTACAGTATGTTTGTGATGTGAGCAATGCATTTTCTCCTGGATTCGATATATTTTGAGGCAAACCATCCAGTTACACACAACATCCTGAATACAAGGGAAAGTTCAGTATTATTGTGGACGGGGAACAGAGGACAACTCTCTAAAAGCATTTGCACAGCATGTTTCCTAACACAGAAGAAGGTGGTTGTTTTTGAGTCTTCTC